CATAGAACAAAGAATCCTAAAATTTATATGGAACAACAAAAGACCCTGAATAGCCAAAGCAATCTTGAGAAAAAAGAACAAATCTGGAGGCATCACAATTCCTGAGTTCAAAATATACTACAAAGCTATAGTAATCAAAACAGCATGGTACTGGCACAAAAACAGGCACATAGACCAATGGAACAGAATTGAAAGCCCTGAAATAAAACCACACATCTATGCACAGCTAATCTTTGACAAAGGAGTCAAGAACAAACAATGGAGAAAAGAAACTCTCTTCAATAAATGGTGTTGGGAAAACTGGACAGCCACATGCAAGAGAATGAAAGTAGACCATTATTTTACACCATACACAAAAATCAACTCAAAATGGATTAAAGACTTGTCTGTAAGATCTGAAGACATAAAACTCCTAGAAGAAAATATAGGTAGTACACTCTTTGACATCGGTCTTAGTGGCATCTTTTCGAATACCATGGCTACTCATTCAAGGGAAATAAAAGTAAAAATAAACAAATGGGACTACGTCAGACTAAAAAGCTTCTGCAAGGCAAAGGAAACCATGAACAAAACGAAAAGACAACCCATCAACTGGGAGAAAGTATTTGCAAATCATATATCCGAGAAGGGGTTAATTTCCAAAATATATAAAGAACTCATACAACTCAACAACAAAAAAACAAACAACCCGATCAAAAAATGGGCAGAGGATATGAACAGACATTTTTCCAAAGAAGATATGCAGATAGCCAACAGGTACACGAAAAGATGTTCAACATCACTAATTATTAGGGAAATGCAAATCAAAATTACAATAAGATATCACTTCACACCCGTCAGCCTGGCCATAATTAACAAATCAAGAAATAACGTGTTGGAGAGGATGTGGAGAAATGGGAACCCTCCTACAGTGCTGGTGGGAATGCAAACTGGTGCAGCCACTATGAAAACAGTATGAAGATGTCTCAAAAAATTAAAAATAGAAATTCCATATGACCCAGCTATCCCACTACTGAGTATTTATCCAAAGAACTTGAAATCAACAATTCAAACAGACTTTTGCACCCCTATTATTCACTATTACTATTCACTGCAGCATTATTCACAATAGCCAAGACGTGGAAGCAACTCAAGTGCCCAACAACCGTTGAATGGATAAAGAAGATGTGGTATATGTACAATGGGATACGACTCAGCCATAAAAAAAGACAAAATCAGGGGCTGGCCCCGTGGCCGAGCGGTTAAGTTCGTGCGCTCCGCTGCAGGCGGCCCAGTGTTTCGTTGGTTCGAATCCTGGGCGCAGACATGGCACTGCTCATCAAACCATGCTGAGGCAGCGTCCCACATGCCACAACTAGAAGGACCCACAACGAAGAATATACAACTGTGTACCAGGGGGGTTGGGAAGAAAAAGGAAAAAATAAAATCTTTAAAAAAAAAAAAAGACGAAATCATCCCATTTGCAACAACATGGACAGACCTTGAGGGTATTATGTTAAGCGAAATAAGCCAGACAGAGAAAGACAGACACCGTATGATTTCACTCATATGTGGAATACAAACAAACGCATGGATAAAGAGAATAGATTAGGGGTTACCAGAGGGGAAGGGGGTTGGAGGGTGGACAATAGGGGCAAAGGGGCACATACATATGTATGGTGACGGAAGAGAGCTAGACTGTTGGGGGTGAGCACGATGCAGTCTGTACAGAAACTGATACATAAGAACATACAACTGAAATTACTCAGTGTTATAAAACAGTATGACCTCAATAAAATAACTTTTTAAAACACTAAAAAAAAAGGAGCAAAGAACATACATCAAATGTGTCCAGGATACATATCCGAAGAGATATTTCGTTACAGATTAGCAGGTCAACATGACCTTGATGTCCAGGAAAGGAAACTTATCTTCAGGAGTGCTGATCCGGGCATCATAGGAAAGGAAATGTGCATTCTTATCTTCGGAGAGTACGTGCTTTTACTTTGAGATAATGTTTAATGGATCCTTTATCTTTAACAGTTAAAGCAGACGGACAATGTATGTTTGACAGGCCATAAGTCAGCCCTCTTTAGTTCAGGCTGAATCAGGTTTAAACCAGAATAGCTACCCATATACCTTGATAGGTGAAAATTTCTTATCGGGGATGAAGACAGAACATGACCAGCAGGGGCACTGCCTTCTAGAAACTGTCGTTCCCGTGGCGGTTGTGGAACTCCTGGATCTTGAAGATGAGAAAGACAAGTGGTTTCAAACTAGAAGTGACAGTTTTGGTTGTCAAAACCTCTGTGAGGAGGCAATCATTGTCTCCTAGGATAGAAGCTTCTGGAAGGCAGGGCTTGGGGTTCCAAACACCATGGGGCAAAGTCCTCAAGACAAATTGCCAGGCTCATCCCCTGGGCTGCAAGGCCCCCTGGTTTGTGGCATTTGCTGATTTAGGGTGTCAATACTGTCTCCTGGGGTCACTTTCAAGCCACCACCATGAGGTACTGAACAGGGAGTTGGGAGAGAAGCGTAGTCAGCTCTCACAAGCTGGCCCCAGGGCACGCCATCACCGCCTCTGCAGCCCCTGGGCAGGACCTGGTACACAGTAAGTGCACAATAAAGACTTGGTGAACAGATGCGTGATCATCCTCCAACTGTCCTGTCACATTTGTGCATCTGTCCTGGGAACCATTTATATTGTAATTCAAACAACTGCTTATGCAGCACTCAGAGTGTGAGCCCCATCACGGGACAAGGACAGCACTACGACACCTTACCTTCCACAGCCCTTCTCACGCTGGTGAGAAGCAGTTCATGGGGATGCAGCAGAAGCTCCAGGGCTGCTCGTGACGCAGCAGAAATACAAATAACCGCAAGGTGAGGGACACAGGGCGTGGACAGCACTGGGCTGGGTTCAGGACACCTGGGAGTGCCCCTGGGCCTGCCGTGGACTCGCTGTATGCACTGGGGTGGTCCCCCTCCCCTTTCAACTTCCCCTTTCATCAACAAGGGAGCTGGAATCAGTTATTGACTACTGTGTAACAAGCCAGGCCAAAACCTACTGCCTTAAAACCATCACTGTTTTATTGCTCAAGAGCTGCAATTTTGGCAGGACTCAGCTGGACAGTTCTGCTGGGGTCACTCATGCAGCTGGCGACTCGGCTGGGCCTGTGTGGTCCGAGAGGGTCTCCCTCAAGTCTGGCATTGAGCTGGGGCTGCTGGACAGGGTGCCCATGTCCTCCTCCGCCTGGCCTCCCCAGCAGAGGAGCCAGGTTTCCTTCATGGCCGCAGCTGCCTCCCCAAAGGGCAAGCCCCAGTGCACAGCTGCTCATGTAACCTCTGCCTGCATCAACGTCGCTCTTGGCCCACTGGCCAAAGCAGGTCACGTGGCCAAGTCCAGCGCTGATATGGGAGAGCATTATCCAAGGACGTGATGCAGAGAGGCATGATTCCTGGGGGCTGTGATTCTAATAGTCCACTGTCTGCCATGGAAATGGGCCAGGGCTCCCCTCGGGCCTTCCCAGCTGAGGTCCCTGGGATTCTGGGCTTCCTGAGACATCTTGTTATGCTAGAAAGGAAGTGCTTGAAGACTGATGGGGGGGTAGGGCAGGGTAAAAGGACCCAGGAGCCAGCTCAAATGGGCTCCCACTGGCCAAGTTGGTGACCATTTGAGCATCGGAATGATTGTAACTAACTCTAAATATCGAATAAATGAAAACCTGAGTCCATCGTGGTACTCAAAAAATAAGGGGAAAAACTCACTGCAGAATGCTACTCAGCAACAGAGAATCAAAATACTGGTACATGCCATAAAATGGACAAATTTCAAAAACAGTATTCTATGTAAAGAAGCCAAGCACAAAAGACCACATATTCTGTGATTCCATTTACAGGAAATGTCCAGAAAAGGCAAGTCGAGAGGAAGCAGACTGGTGGCAGCCTGGGGGCTGAGGGATTCACTGCAAACGGGCACAAGCCATCTTTCCGGGGTGGCGGACATGTTCTGGAACTGTGTTGTGGTAACCGTTACACCCCACTGTAAGTTTACTAAAAAAAAGTCATTAAAGTGAGTGCACTACACGGCATACAGATTAAACCGTAATAAAGCTGTTTAAACCAAACACACTTATTTGCCAGCATTGGTGGTGACTCTATCAGCTTGTGTCTCTAAAATTGGGCGATTAGAGCATTTACCCTTTTTAGGTGGAACGGGAGTCCATCTCTAGGTGACCAGGAAAAGCTCTTCTTTTCAGAATCCCAGCAGGTATTAGAGAATTGTTGATCAATTGTTTAGGTGTGAGTACAGTATTGTGGTTATGCCAGAGAACTATCTTGTTTGTAAGATCTGCTTGTTCAAGTGTTCAGGGGCGAAGTACTACCTGAAACTTACTCTAAAATATTTTACAAAAGAAATATCTACAAGAAAGAAATATGGCAAGATGTTAATTACTGACTTGAGGTGTTGGTTTTATGGGTGTTCTTTATGTAGTTTTCTTGCTAACTTTTCTGTACATTTAAAATTTTCAAAGTGCAGATGTTTTTAAAAGTACCTTTCAAATAAACTTTGTGATGTCCGTCTGCCTGTGGAAACACTTGAAGATCTGGCAGGCTCGGATCTGCTCTGTTCTGCCTGTGCCAGCCCCTCAGTGGCCCCTGGTCCAAGCCCTGCATCTTACAGATGTGGACGTGGAGGCCCAGGGAGGGGCGACCTCGCCTGGATGCCGCCTGAGCTGGATCCGCACCCAGGCTGCCCATCCGCATCTGTGCCCTTGAGCTCTGCACTGGCCACTCCCTCCCCTCACCCCCCATCCCCAGGGGCCCTCCCTGCCTAGGGACACGTGGACCCTGCCAGGCTGCCAAGTGGCACAAAGTTGACTCACAGCCCCCCACCAGGCCACCTTCAACCTTTGTCCTGGAACTGCCACCAGCCGCACCCTCGAGAGCGGGTCCCCAGCTCTGGCCCAGGAAGCAAATGGCCCCACGTGTTCCCAGCAGCACAGCAACATGGAAGGAAATCTTTTAAATCATTTATTTGACTCAAAGTCGACGCACACGGGCTCTACTATACAAAAGTTGGAAGCAGCAACAGATCGCGTGCCAGAGGCAGTGCGTGGGCGTGTAAACAAAGATGAAATGAAAATGCCACTTCTGTGTGATTCGGGAGCAAATCAGAGCGGGCCGGAGTGCAGGCCCAAGATTACATTCACAGCGCAGGGTAAGTGCAAATGAGCGGAATGTCGGGATGAAGGAAGGCCACCCTGGGTCCCTCCTGCCGGGAGGCTGCTCCCTCCTCGGCACCCATCAACCTCGAAGAGGTGGGTGGGAGACAGAACCAGCATTAGTGCACAGCGGTCCTCCAGTCTGGGGAGGGGAGTGGGCTGAGAGATGGTGGGCCCCGCCCAGCATCACCCCTCCCACATCCCCTCTCCCACTGCCCATGTGGGCAAGCTCGCCGGCCCCTGGGGCTCCTTTGCCATTCAGGGCAGACTGATGGCCAGTCCTCCAACTCCAGAGTTTGAGGAGCCAGGAGTCTCTCTCTCTCATAGCCCTCTCAACCTAGGAAGGGGCAGAACCTCAAAATAAAGTGTTAAGGCAATAAATAAAACATCTCACCGCAGGTGAAAACACTGAGAGAAGTGCGTCTGCAGGGCTGACAAACCCTTGGCACAGGGACAATGCCCACGAGCCTGTCTGCAGCAGCGAGGCAGGCTCCACACCGCTGCACGGCTCAGAGCATGTGCCCGAGAGCATTTGTGCGTCGAGTTGAAGGCAAAGTGCCAGGAAAGTTTCTTGTCCCAATGAGGGCTGGGGAGCTGGGCCAGCCACTTACATCCCTGATCTCCCCTCACATGGTACCCGGGCCTCCTCACTCCTGGGGTCACCACTGATGGCAGCACAGGTGACGAGCCTGGGATGACCCCTGGTCAGAGCCCCCAGCTCAGCGCCTAGCCCCACCCGGGGAGTTCCAGGTTCAGAGAGGAGGTGGGTGGGGACGGGAGGACCAGCCCTGCCTCCTCCATCTTTGGTGGTGGCAGAGGTGGGAAGATAAATGAGAATCTTTGGCAGGGCAAGGGAATGTCAGGGGACAGCCTCCTGGTTTGGCGCTTGGGTTTGTCAAGGGTCCAGTCCCTGCCCAGACGTGAGCACAAGGAAAGCAGGTCCACCTCTGGAAAGTCCAGGCCTGCCATCCACCACGGTGCCCCCCAGCATCACTCTCTGGAGTTGCAAACTCTCTAAGGTGGTGGCAGGGTTTGGGGGGCCGTCAGGACTGGCCAGCCAGAGGCTTAAATTCTGACTGTCCAGCCCAGGTTCCTTCTAGCTCAGAACATCCATAACCTTCACACCACAGAGCGCTGCCACCCCCATCTTTCACCTCCACCTTCCCAGCCCCGCTTGTCAGCAGCCCTGGGGTGGTGGGAGGTTTTAGGGTCCCACGCCCAGGGCATCCCAGCTCTGCTGGTCCCAATTGTCACGACACCTCTCCTCTCTCTCGCTACCTTCCTCTCCCACAGGCCCCACAGGCCAGGTCCAGCCTCTGCCTCCCCCAGGGACACCTGAGGACAGTCAGGCAGGCCCCAAGGGGCTCCATCCTTCTCCAAGGAAGTTTGCCCTCCAGGCCTTGGGGGCTCCCAGATGACGGGGGGGGGGTGACAAGGTGAGGGGCAACTGCCCTTGGCCACCACAGCCTGGGCTCTGCCACTGCTGACGGCCATGGCCACCCGGGCCCTTCAATGCTGACCCAAAGGAGGAGAAGAGGCAGCCTTCTCTCAGCCACATGGACGAGGCCCCAGCAGCCCTGCTCCCCGAGCCTGCGCCGCCACTACTGCAGCTCGTCCTGGGGCCCGTTCTTGCGGGGAAGCACGCCGTTCAGGCCCACGCTGCTGGCCGCTGGTGCCCCGAGGTAGCCCAGCAGGATCTCGCTGCGGCGCCGCGACAGCTGCAGGATGTCGTCCGCCAGCGCCGGCACCGATGTGTAGCGCACGTTGTCCAGGTCGAACATGTCCCTCAGGTACTGCACGATCTGGTGCTGGGGACAGCACTGGTGTGGGCCCAGGCGAGGCCCTGCCCCCCTGCACCGTGTCCTCCCGATCAGCCAGAGCCCCTGGGGAAGGGGCAGCACACCCCCTGCAGGCACCCCCGCCCAGCCCTTTCTGGGAGCAGCCCCAGGCCCTCGCTCCACTCCTGGCACCTCGCGGAGCTCCTGTCCCAGGGCTCGGGCAGAGCTGGGGGACAGCCGCCGCCGCGCTCCCTGCTCACCTTGAAGAAAGCACAGACTTCAGAGAGCTGGGGCTTGGGTCCCAGGAAGCCGAAGGCGAGGACGGGGCTAACGCACTCCGATACGGAGTAGAAATGGGAGATGAAGCCGTTGGGCACCTGCGGAGGGCACGAGGTTGAGCGGGGACCCAGCGGGGAGAGGCGGCCAGGCCCTGGGGTCGTGTTAAGAGCTGGGCTTCACAGGGAGGCCCGGCTCACTCACGCCCTGGCTGGATGACCCCGGGCAAGGAACTGGGGCTTCCGAAGCCCAGGTTTCCACCTCTGCACAACAGGGTATCCATGGGTCTGCTATGAGGACTGCCCGAGGAGGGGTCCAGGGGGCTCAGCTCAGGAAGTGCCCGGGGCACGTGGCAGTGGCAGTGGCAGCTGGTATCAGCATCAGCTGGGCAGCAGCGCCCGGCTGGCAGAGGGAACATGGATGGCAGCCAGAGACGCAGCCAGTGGCCGCCTGGGAGTGCAGATAACAGCAGCCTGATGGGTGGGAGGGGGCTGCTCTGCCTGCCTCAGGGGCCTCCCACCCCCACCCCGCTGCCCCTGCCAAGCCAGCCAAGCCAGCCAAGCCAGCCGCCACTCCTTTGCATGCGCCCTTCCTCCCTCTGACAACACCCTTCCCCCCTGGGCTCAGCAAGACCTCCCTGCACCAGCCCCATTCCTCTGCCTCCACCCCCCCGCCCCAGATCAGGGGCCAGCACATGCAGAATGGAGGTCAGCTGAGCTGGGCACCACACCTAGGGCCAAGCACGGCCTCCCCAGGGACCCTGTGGGTCACTCACCATCAGCAGCCTCCTCTTGGCTTTCAGGACTGACCAGCAAGCAGTGGCCAGGGCCTAAATCAAAGATGGGACCCCACCGGGTGTCAGAATAACGGGCCGAGCCTGCAGCCCCTACCCATCCCTCAGCCCCGGACCAAGCCCTTACCCCAGCTCACCCCACCCCAGCAGGAAGATGGGGCTTGGTGCCTGAGCTCTGCTGTTTCCCTCCCCTTGATCAGGACTCAGAAACACTTAAATCTGAATCTTGACTCCAACTCTTACTGCTGTGGGTCCCTGGACTAGCCACTTAACTTCTCTGGGCCTCAGTATCCTCCTCTGTAAAATGGCCATATCCCGGCACCCCCACCTCCTTCGGTGTTTGTGGGGATCCATGGTTACTGCCTGTAAACTGCCAGTAAATGACCAGCACCCGCCCCCCCCCCCCACCCCGCCCCCCCAATGCTCCCATGCCACACAGCATAGCTGCCCGAGTGGCACACCTCCCCGGTGGGGGCCCTGCACTGGATGCTCTCCTGCTCGTCCTGTTTTCTTCCCCATAGTTTAACTTAATTTACTAGGATGCATTAAAATTGAAGAGAATTCATGCCAGCACAGAATGAGTCGAATTAACCACTCGGTGAAACCATAGAACACATGGAAAACGCACAGCAGGCTGTTTGACACTGGTGCAGAGGAGAGCAGTGCGATCCCCTGAAGCTTCTCCAGGGCAGCCGCCTGGTCTTCCAGGCCCTGCAGCCCCAAATCACAGCAGGGAGGGAACCTGCCCAGGGGTGACTGCTGCCTGACGGTGGGGAGCCCTGGTGCCCAAAGCCAGGGACAGAGGGAAGCGGGGTCCAGGCAAACACATGGGGTCACCTGAGTGTGTGTGCACTTGGGAGTGGGGGCAGCCACCCACCGTCTCCTTGAAGCTGTCCGACAGCCAGCGGTTCCTGAGGACGGCGAGCACCGAGGACGGGGGGTTCTCCAGGTCCTCGAAGGCGTCCATGAGGATGAAGTCCAGCACGATGTCGAAGAAGCTCATACACACCACCTGTGGGAGGGAGGGGCACTCTGAGGCCCAGAGTGCCCGAGCTGCAGGGCGCTGTCGGATGGGAAGACTGAGGCCAGAGGAGGCTAGGGCGTGTAGGGGCCTGGGTGGGAACACACGGCTGAGCAGACACATCTCTGCTCTGCAATGGGGGCAACCGGGGCCATCTCCCTCCCAGCCTGGGCCCAGGCAGGGCAGCAACTTGGGGCTTGTAGCAGTGATGGCACCATCTCAGACCCCAGAATCAAGGCAGAGCTCAGCACAGGTACCCCCTTCCTGATCCAGGATCTCCGCTATGAGGGACCCCAGGATGCCAGGGCGCAGCACAAGCCAACCCACCCCACGGCCCTCCAGCTCCAGCCGCGTGGTGGCCCAGGTCTCCGGGCGCAGGGCGTAGCTCAGCATCTCCTCGTAGCTCTCCAGGAAGCCTTTGGGGCTCTGTGGGGAGAAGCACAGGCTCTTCTGGTCATGAGAGGGGCCCAAACCCCGTTGGACTAGATGCACAGGGACAGGCTGGCCCACGGATGGAGGACACGCCAAGGCAAGGCCAGGGCCTATCCCTGAGCAGCAGCCGTGGGGAAAACGAGGCAGGAAGTGTCCCCTGCCCACCTCGCTGTGCCTCTGCAGAGACCAGGGCATGTCTGGGAGAGACCCAACACCAGGGCGCATAGCAGTGTCTCAGACCAGCTCGTGACCGAGCCCCGCCTGCCTTCCAGGAGATGTGCACACGCCACAGCGTGAGCTCGCTCTGGAAAGATGCGTGACGACATGAGCCCAGCAGCCAAAGGTTCAAATCTCCATGACCTTGGACCTCACTGGTGAAACAGGAGAAGTGACAGCCCCATACTCAGAGGGCTATTCCGGGGGCGTTGATGAGCTCATGAGGTAACACCATCAGCCCAGCGCCTGGACCTAAGCAATGAACAGCGTGTCAGACAGCTGCTGCTAGGGACTAAGTCTGTCAGCACGTGGGACGAATCCTTCACTCTCTGAGCCCATGAGGTTTAGCTGGGGCTTATGACAGGATCTGCAGACGTGCATTTATGGACACGAGGAAAGCCAGTATGTGCCAGGAACTGTTCTAACACGAATCAACCCATTTAATCCCTACGGTCCTACGAGGGACGGTCCAGATTACACCCACTTTACAGATGAGAATACGGAGGCTTCGGGAGGTCAGGGAAGTGCCCAAGAGCCAGGAAGGGTGGAGCTGACACAGAAGAGCACAGGCGGGTTCATAAAGAACCACGGGCGGAGGAGATGTCAAACAGATGTACACCAAAATGTGAACAAGATGGGAATGGGGACAATTTGTCTTTCTTTCCTTTTACTCTTTTGTACTGTCATAGTTTTTTCTGCAATGAGCATGAATCATTTTTGTACTCATTAAAAAAAAAAACAAAACTATTTTCATTAACTTTTAAAGAGAATTTGCTAGGATGACCCCGGGGCTGTGCCTTAACCTCTCCGACCGTTTCCTCATGTGTAAATGATGACCACGACGACGATAAGGGCTGCCGCTTCTGCGGGCTGCTGAGCATGTCTGACATCATCTCAGAATGTCCCTGGGACACACCTGTTCATACATGAGGAGACCCAAGCTTGGAGAGCTTTCACATCTGGCTGTGGACACACAGTGAGGAAGTGGGCCGATTTCCACAGCTCCAGGGCCTGGGCGCTGCCCACAGAGCCAGTCCTCCCAGACCGCACCTGCCCCAGCCCCGCCTGCCTGGAAGGACCCAACAGGGCGCATCCATGACCACTCCAGTCCCAGGGCTTGGCGCAGGCTCTGGCACCCAGGAGCCACTACACAGCCATTTGAACTTCTTCTTGATTTCTTTCCTTTTTTTTCTGAGGAAGATTAGCCCGAGCTGACATCTATGCCAGTCTCCCTCCACTTTATATGTGGGCTGCCGCCACATCATGGCTGATGAGTGGTGTAGGTCCACGCCCGGGATCCAAATCTGGGCCGCTGAAGTGGAGTGCGCCAAACTTAACTACTACACCACAGGGCTGGCCCCTCTTCTTGATTTTTTAAAGATTTTATTTTTTCCTTTGTCTCCCCAAAGCCCCCCAGTACATAGTTGTATATTTTTTTAGTTGTGGGTCCCTCTAGTTGTGGCATGCAGACACCGCCTCAGCATGGCTTGATGAGCAGTGCCACGTCCATGCCCAGGATCTGAACAGGCGAAACCCTGGGCCACCAGAGCGGAGCACGCAAACTTAACCACTTGGCCACAGGGCCGGCCCCTCTTCTTGATTTCTTAATAAAAATGAAACCTAAGTCCTGCCCTGGGCGGAGGCCGGGAAGAGGCAAGTCTCGCCTCTGGACCCCTGTGGGAGCAAGCACAGAGAGCGAGCGGTGTGCTGCGCGCCCGGCGCCCACTGCAGCCCCACGTTCCTGTCCTTCACTCGTCCGTCATTCACCCTCCTGGGGCGGCCACAGAGGACAGATAAGGGCACAGCCAGAGCCAGGCTGACCTGGGTTCAGACCCCGGCTCTACCTCTCCCTTGCTCAGCGACCCTGGCGAGGCCCTTTACCTCCCCAGGCTCAGCTTCCTTATCCGCCAGGCAGAGACTGTGATCAAGCTGAATGAGCCACGGGAGGTACGGAAATGCGATAAGGTGCGGGCTCCTTGCTCGGTGAGGAGCAGCTGCGGAGAGAACGAGCATCAATGTCTACAGAGCACTGCCCTGGGCCAGGCCGTGGGCCGGGCACACGCCTATGCCAGGAACGCTGTGGGCCCGGCCCTTGTGGAACTCAGAGTCACGAGGAGAAGCACACGGTGACCCGCAAGCAGGACACGGGGTGATGGGGCCATGCTAGGTGGGATGAGCACAGGGGCTCTCGGGCCCGAGGGGATGAATCAGGCGGAGCCCTCCCGGGGAAAGAGACGGCTGGTGGGGACTCAGAAGATGGGTGACCAAGGAAGGGGCGGGGGGGGGACTGGGAGCTTCGAGATACTGGTATGTGTTCCTCTTCCTAACGTGGGTGCAGGGTACACAGGGGTTCATCTTTTTATTCATCAAATCCTACAGATACACTTTTACAGTCTCTTATGTATATTTTATAATAAAGTTGTTAACAATAACAAAAAAGAATTGAAGAACAGTGTTGCAGGTGCAGAAGAACCAGCACATGCCAAGGCCCCAATCGGGGACACAGTCTCGCGAGGCCTTTGGCCTGGGCAGGGCAGAGCGCACAGAACAGCAGCTGTGGCACGAAGCTTGGTCTGCACACCAAGGGCAGCCGGAGCTGCCAAGGAGGGTTTCAAGCGCTGGGTGACGAGGTCAGAGGTGCACTTTGGAACCACTGCTCCAGCATGTGGGGAGAAGGGACTCAGCGGGGAGAGCCGTGTTCAAGGGCTTTACTCGAACCCAACCCAACAAAAGAAACACAAGCGGCTGACAAACACGAAAATTCACGTGACCTCATTAATGATCAAAGAGATGTGGCACAATGGATAAACTAAAGATTTAAAAGATTACGAATACTCAGCATCGGCCAAGATGTAAAGAGACACACTCTCATCCTGCTGGTGGGGACGTGAGCTGTCAAAGCGTTTCAGAGGGGAAACCAGCAAGATGGTTTGATTTGGTTTGGTTTAAATGTCTGAGCCCAGGACCAGTTATTGCCACATTTCAGGCTTTGTCGCACGGAAAACCTCACAGGTACCTTTAAAGAGCTGTAGAAGATTATCATAGTGGTGTCTGTGATGAGGAAAAATCAGACACAGTCCGAATGTCCATCCACAGGAGAACCACATAAACCACAGGCAGCCACCCAACGGAATACTACGCAGTCAGTAAAAGTAACTGCTTCTCCCGATGTGGAAAGATGGACAGAATCTACTCTGACACAACAAAATAAAGCTGCAGACCAGTCTGGAGGGCACACACCGAGCTCTGGAAATTAAATAACGATGTTCAAGGATTCGAGTCCATGAAAGTGCGTGGGAGGGACATGTCAGACTCCCTGACGTGGGAGTTTTGGCGCAGCGGCTCCCTCGAGCAGGACGGGTTCAGGGGGACCTATGGTTTGCATTTCATGGTCGGTGAATTTTGTAAAACTGCGTTATGTTGTGATCAGAAATAAAAAGCAATACAGATTCACGTTTTTCTAAATCAGCACAGGAAGAAACCCCGATGCTTTCCCATCTCCCTGACACCCACAGGAGGAAGTCCAAGCTCCCCAGCTGGATTGCAGTTGGGCTTTTTTTTTTTTTCACAGAACCAAATAAAAGTTAAAAAAATAAAAATAAAAAAGGCGAGGAGGGAAGAAAAGCTGAATAAAGGGAGCCCGCAGCCCAGCTACCTTCTCAGCCTTGGTCATCAGGCCCGTCACCATCTGCCGGCCGACCTCCCCAAAGAAACGCTGGTTCCTCTCGTCTTCCAGAAGGCCCTAAGGAAGGGGGGAATGAGCACTGGGCTGGCGGGCCCCAGAGCCGATGGGGAGGGCAGTAGAAGGGGCTGGGCGGGTGACCCATCTGCCCAGAGGAGCCAGGTATGGGAGCAGGCCCGGCGGGAGACCTGTGTGACCGCCCCCAGTGCCGGCTCCATCCTCCCCAGGCGGCCTGGACCACACGCACCTCAAAGGCCTGCCGCACACAGTGGAGCTTGGCCAGAAAGTCCTGGTCACTGTAGCAGCCCAGCAGCTCTGTCCTGAGGGGGAAGCACAGACAGTCACACCATGTGGGCCCCGCCCAGTGAGGCCCCCATGAGGGTCGGGGGGAGCCCTGGGTGGCCCTGCCTTGGCCTGGCAGTGTGACCTCAGACAGCTGCCTGCCCCCTTCTAGGCCTCAGTTTCCCCCGAACCAAAGGCAGAGGCTGGCTGGATGCTCTCTGAGGAGGACATGTCGCCTCAATGGCATGGGGCGGAGCTGGCAAGTCTGGTCACTGGGGGTGGGGCTGACCTCGGCCTCCTTTCAGCCTCAACCAGCAAAAGAACCTCATGGGTAAAAGACCAAAATGGCTAAACTGTTGCCAGCTGGCAGGACGCCAGGGCAGGGGTCACTACCCACTCTGGGCTGGGCTGGCCTTGCCGGGCAGCTGGAGGCACCCTGGCCTGGCTCTCCTGTAACCAGATCGCCAAGGCTTCACCCGGGGCTCTCCGCCATCTTCACTCAGGGAACTCTAACCACACGCTTACGTTTGGAGTCATGACCAAAAGCCGAATTCTGAGTGTCAAATCATACAGAAGAACGAACGTAAGATGCATAAGAGCTCGAATCTACCACAGATGAGAAAACAGGCTAGGAGAAGTTAGGTGACTTGTCGAGGGCCACACACCACCAAGTGGCAGAACGTGGAGAGAGTCAGGGTCTGTGTGTCCCCGGAGCTGGCTTCCGGGCTGCCACTGAAAGCGGTGTATTGGGACACAGGGCTTAGGAACAGTGCCCACTGTGTTTCTGTGGCCGGGCCTCTCTGAGAACTCAGAACAAGCACCAACTATTGTTATTTTATTAGTTAATTCTATTAATTTGTCACTGTTAATGCCACAGCCGCCTGTCTCGGCACTCCGGGGCATCTTAGGCTCCCCGGCTGAGCAGGAACGGCGGCCAGCCTCCCACAGCCCTCGGCCAGCCTGGCCCAGCTGCGTCCTCAGCAGCAACGCTGGCCTCTCCGGCCTCCTCCACGGGGGCTGGGGCCCACCCCGCCTGCCTCCTTCCCCACATGCTCACCTGAGGGTCCGGCAGAGTACCTTGCCCTCCTTCACCAGCTGCAGGGCCTCCTCATAGGCGGCGGCCGGCCTGGAGAGTGGGATCGGGTAATCTCCGACCTGTAGGGACTCGAAGAGCTGGGGGAGGGTGCAGAGGAAGAGGAAGAGGAAGAGCTCGTCAAAGCCTGTGTCAGCAGCATCCCAGGGGGTGAGGGCGTCTGCCCACCTCTCAGACGGGGTGTCAGAGGGAACTGGCCCAAGAGGCAGGAGGCCTGGGTTCGAGTCCAGCTCTGGCCCTCAGCATCCCCATCTCCAGGGCTCCTTCCTGAAGGGACCATGTACTGGACACTCGGCCACATCCTCCTACCGCAGACTGGGATGGCCAGGTGGACACAAGTGGCCATGGCAGGAGTCTAATGCAAAGCAATGGACACATGGTCTGGAGAAGGGATAGCTCAGCGTGGGCTGGAGCCAGTGGGGGCGGGGACCCCTGCCCTCACCCACAGGTCCTACAGCCCCTGGCTTCTCAGGCCTCTCTGTCCCCAGCAATTGCATTGAGTCCCGGGGGGAGCAGCATTTGGTGACTGCCAAATTCTGCTCCCGTCAGAGGAAATGCCTTCACGTTCCCACAACCCAGTGCTCACCAGGAGGGTCAGAGGGTCGCCAGGGGCCTGGCCTTCACTCCACTCCCTCCCTCTGCACCCATCCCCCCGCCCTGTCACCTCAGTGGCGGAGAAGAAGGAATCCTCCGAGGTCAGGCTGTCCTCATCGTCCACGCGTAGACGCAGCGAGCCCTCGGTCAGGGGCAGCATGAGCGTCCGCTCTGGGGAGGCAAGAGAAGGGCCGAACTGAGACTCCCCAGATGACCGAGCTTTGCGGAATGCACATAGAAAAGTCCACTAACGCCCAATTCTGGGGCGGACGAGGCTGCCGACGGCAAAGCTCCCATTTACGGGGCACTTGTGCAGGAGGACTCTGGGCTCACCGCCTCCCAGGGATGACCTCCTCCCATCCTACGACATCCCTGGAAGTGGGCACAGCTACGTGTGGAAACAAAGCTGCTGAGGAGACCTGCTCACAGCCACACCACTGGACCATGAGGCCTCGTGGCCCCTGAGCTCTGAGGAGCAGACTCCTTTTTTTTTTTTTTAATTGAGTTATTGATAGGTTACAATCTTGTGAAATTTCAGTTGTACATTACTGTTTGTCAGTCATGTTGTAGGTGCACCACTTCACCCTTTGTGCCCACTCCACCTTTCCCCTGGTATCCACTAAACTGTTCTTAGTCCATAATTTTAAATTCCTCTGAGGAGCAGACTCTTTCATGCTGTGTGGCCCTGGGCAAGTTGCTTCCCCTCTCTGACAAGCTGAAACTTAGCCACTGACACCAAAGGGCTCGAGGGAGTCCACAGGCCACTCACTTGGCATCATCCCCACGCAGTCAAGGGCTGGGGGTGTGGGACTTCAAGGGCATTTAGGAAAGTTTTGTCGAACAAACAAGCAGAGGCCACCACCTTGAATGCCCACCAGCCTTCTCTGCCAAGTGGGGAGGTCAAAGGAAGCAGGAGTCCTCCAATAGGCAAAGTCACTCAGGGACAGGTCGCGGGAGGACATGTCACCTTGGCCAGCCCTTGCTGGGCCTGTGTCCCCACTGGTAGAAACAGAGAGCTGGACACTCAGGGTCTAATGTCGCCCCCTGGGGCTGACAGCACCCAGGAAAGGAACCTGGAGTAGCTTTCAGCGCACAGGGTCTGGCCCGCCACAGGCACCAGACAACACGGGCTGTTCGGCCGAGTAACTTCATTTCCTCATAGCGAGGCCATGCCGCTTTCCCTCAATGGGACGGACACAGCAGGACTTGTGATCTTGGCCCTTTGGCCTGCCTTGGGCTAATCTCCATGCAAGCCGTCCCTTCCCCCTGCCCCGCGCCTGCAGGACAGGGCTCAAAACAAAAGGCTGGGGCAGCTATCGGGGAGATGTTGACACACAAACCCCAGGCCTGCTCCCAAGGCCATGGGGCAAAGCACACTGGGGCCTCATGTCAGCTCTGCTCCTGCCTGCCTCCTCTGTCCCTTGAGGGGCCTCGGTTTCCCTGTCTGTGCCCTGAGGCCCTGGATCAGACAAGGTCCGAGGGCCCTGGGGATCCCGGTTTGCCTGAGGCACTGAGGGAGTCACACCCTGGTTTTCCCACTGCCCCCGTCTGCCTCCACCCCGCCGCCTGTGCCTGGGCCCAGCTCACCGAGGTCCAGCAGCATGCTGTCAGACGGGAAGGTGGACCCAAACTCCTCCTGCAGGTGGTAGGCCCGGCGCAGCAGGGACTCCAGCTTCTCCGCAAACTCCCTTCGCTGTGACTCTGGCTACAGTTAACACAATGACCGTCACCCCAGGCCCTCCCAGCTCCACGTGCTAACCGCCCCTTCCCTCACCAATGATGGGGGCCTAGCCTCTGGGGACAGGGGAGAAGGTTCTGGGGTCCAGCAGCGAGAGCAGAGATCTAGACCCGAGTTGCCCAGGACAGGATTCACCAGCCACATGTGGCCAGGGAGCACCCAAAATGTGGCCAGTTCCACTGAGATGTGCCGTAGGCATAAATACACACCAATTCGAAACAGCTCCAAAAAGAGACAGAACATAAACTATCTCAGTGATTTTCCATGTTGATTACAGGTTGAAACGATCATATTTGGGGTATACTAGATTACATAAGATATATTATTCAAATTAATTTAATCTGTTTCCTTTTGCTTTTTATTGTGGTCTCTCGAAACTTTTATTTATTTATTTATTTATTTTGAGGTAGATTAGCCCTGAGCTAACTGCTGCCAATCCTCCTCTTTTTGCTGAGGAAGACTAGCCCTGAGCTAACATCTGTGCCCATCTTCCTCTACTTTATATGTGGGACGCCTACCAAAGAATGGCTTGCCAAGTGGTGCCATGTCCATACCTGGGATCCGAACCAGCAAACCCCGGGCCGCTGAAGCAGCATGTGCGCACTTAACCGCTGTGCCACCGGGCCGGCCCTCTAGAAACTTAAATGAGATTTGGGGCTTCCTGCTGAACAGCACTGTTCTGGACCCACGCAGACCCGGGTTCCAACCTTGGCACCACCAGTTCTGAGCTGTGTGACCTCAAGCAAATAACTTCCCCATTCAGAGCCTCAGTTTCCTTATCTGTTAACTGAGATAAGAGTGCTTACTCCCTGGGATTTCAGGGAAAACACGAAGGAGATAAGAGACGCAAAGTCCTTCACACAAGACTGGCATAGGGTGACAATCAGAACGTGTTAGCTATTACCGTAATTCCTGTACTTGTTACTATAATAAGGGAGCAGCCAGGAGCCCAGAAAGAGCTGGGTTCAAACCACGCCACTGCTATTAACCATGCGTGCTTGCGAAGGCACTGCACCCAGGCTCAGCAGCCTGTCCCCTTGGTGACCCTTGCTGCCCTCTGCCTCCAAGTCAAGGCGTGGGAAGAAGAGGCCACTGCTGCTTCGAACCCAGGAGCTTCTGGGGCGAGGGGCCAGGCAAGGGCAGGCCCAACTCTGTTTTCCACAAAGGCTGCCAGATGCTGCACTTGCAGGTAACCAGACCCCAGGGAGGAGACCAGGGCTGGCTGGGGCCCGAGGCCAATGGGGAGAAAGAGCCGGAGGAGCTCAAAGGGGCCGGTAAAGATGGAAATGGCTGCCTTTCACTGAGCTCTTGTCCTGGACCAGGCACCTCGCTGTCAGCCTCACGGTTGCCCTCAAAGGGGGGTATTCTGTGACCCCATTTAACAGAGAAAACTCAAGGAGGTTAAGAGGCTGCACCCACCCAGCTAGAGCCTGGCAGAGCTAGGATTCGACCCCAGGCCCAAGGGACCCCAGGCATAGTGGCCACTTTGCTCAGTTCTCCAACAGGGCCAGACTGCGTCCCACGTGGCCTGGAGAGCCTTGTCCCTTGGGCAGAGATCTGCCAGCTCTTTCTCTGTGAAGTGACCTTGTTAGGGAATGGTTTCTTAGATATGACACCAAAAGCACAAATGACAAAAGAAAAATAGATATACTGAACTTCACCAAAACTAAAAACTTCTGTGTTTCAAAGGACATCATCAAGAAAGGGAAAAGATGGGGCTGGCCCTGTGGCCGAGTGGTTAAGTTCGTGCGCTCCGCTGCAGGTGGCCCAGTGTTTCGTTGGTTTGAATCCTGGGTGCGCACATGGCACTGCTCATCAAGCCATGCTGAGGCGGCATCCCACATGCCACAACTAGAAGGACCCACAACGAAGAATATACAACTATGTACCGGGGAGCTTTGGGGAGAAAAAGGAAAAAAAAGAAAAAGAAAAAAAAAGAAAGGGAAAAGACAACCCACAGAATGGGAGAAAAGATCTGCATATCCTATCTCTGATAAGGGACTTGTATCTAGACTATATAAAGAACCCTTACAACTCAATAATAAAAAGATAAATTACCAATTTAAAAATAAAGCAAAGGATTTGAATAGACGGTTCTCTAAATAAGATATACAAGTGGCCAATAAGCACATGAAAAGATGCTCAACATCATTAGCCATCAGGGAGACACATATCAAAACCACAACGAGACGGCTAGACACATCCACCAGGATGGCTAGAATCAAAAAGTCAGATAACAACAAGTGTTGACGAGGATGTGGAGAACTGGAAGCTTCGTGCACCGCTGCTGGGATGTGAAACAGTGCAGCTGCCTTGGAAAACAGTCTGGCAGCTCCCCAAAATGTGAAATATAGTTACCATATGACCCAGCAATTCCTCTGCTGAGGATATATTCAAGGGAATTAAAAACATATGTCCACACAGATACTTGTACATAAATGTTTGTAGCGGCCAAAAAGTGGAAACAACACAAACGTCCATCAACTGATGAACAGATAAATAAAATGTGGTCGACCCACACAACAGAATATCATTCAGCCATCACCAGAAACAAAACAGGGTCCCACACGCCAAGGATGAACCCTGAAAACATTAAACTGTGAAAGGAGCCAGTCATAAAAGGCCACACACTAGATGATTCCACTTATAGAAATGTCCAGAACAGGCAACTCTATAGACACAGAAAGTAGATCAGTGGTTGCCTAGGGCTGGGGCGGGGGATGAAGGAACGGGGCGCAGTGACTGCTAAGATTATGAGATTTCTGTTTGGGGTGATGAGGACGCTCTGAAATCGACTGTGGTGGTGTGATGTATTCACATGACTCTGACTATGCTAAAAGCCACTGACTTGCACAACTTAACCTGCTGAATGTACAGCATGCGGGTTATATTTCAATGTGAATTATATTTCAACAGACCTGCTGAACAACGTTTAGCAGAGAAAAATGCCTGGAAGGATACAAAGTGGTTCTGTCTGAATGAAGGGTTACAGGCATCATAACGCTGATGACAAAGCTCATTCACTGAGCGCTGACTAGGGGCCAGGATCACACAGCTGGTACCCTGTCCCGTGGAGGACACCAGGGCTCAGGGAGATGGAGGGCCTTTGCCCACGCGACACAACCATGAGCTGTCTGATTAGAGCCCAGGTGCTTTTGTTCTCCTCTCTTTTCTATTTCTGTAGTTTTCACTACTCTAGGAAGAATATTTAATTGTTTTCACAACAAGAAAGACAACGGAAGTTCTATAATTTTAAGATATAGCATCAACAATACATAGAACGTTTGCAGCCAAGCCACCTGCCCTCTTCTCGCTGCCCTGATGCACCCCTGCAGGCGCCCGTCATCTGGCCACAGGCAGAGGTGACCTGATGCAGCTGTGCCCCCGGGTGCTGAAGGCTTTGTTGAGCCCCAGACGCTTCCTTCACGTCCACAACCACAGCGGTCATGCCTGGGTGACAGGCCTCTGAGCTAATGCCCCCAGCACACACACCTTCAACTCGTTACTGGCTGTGCCAGGCATGCCCCCACTCCCGTACTGCAAACTCTGTTTCCCAGATCCCCTGCCAACTGGCCCCCGGCCAACAGAGGCACAGGTGGAAGAAAGAAGGCCGGGGATGGGGGGTGTGGGTAGGGACAGGACATGACAATTCTCCTCTCCTTGTCCTGCCTCACACCATATCCCTGCCCCCACCCACACACCAAGTGGGGACAACCTCTGCTGGTCAGCCTGCATCGTGGTGTTAGCTCCCACAAGAGGTCCCTGGCTCCTGAGCGCTGGGCACACCCTCGCCAGCCCTGGGCCTCTCAGTGACTCCCTCACCTGTGCAACCAATGCCCGAGATTCAACGCCCTCCTTTTTCAACACCTGAAGTTGTTCCCATTTCCTGGCCAGTCTCGGACTGACTCTCCAGATACTGTCAGACTGCTCCCCAAAGACGTGTCCCCACATTTGACCTCGCTCCAGCAGAGGACAGGAGCTCAAGGGCGTTTGGGGTTTTTTGTTTGTTTGGGTGAGGAAGAGAGGTCCTGAGCTAACACCTGTTGCCAATCTTCCTTTTTTCGCTTGAGGAAGATTGTTACTGAGCTAAGATCTGTGCCAGTCTTCCTCGATTTTGTATGTGGGATGCCACCACAGCACAGCATGGTGAGCAGTGTATAGGTCTGTGCCCAGGATCCGAAGCCATGAACCCTGGGCCACCGAAGCAGAGTGCGTAGACTTAACCACTATGCCACCGGGCCGGCCCTGGGGGTATTTTTTAATACAAAAAGTATAAAGAATAAAATAGAAACAGCCCACAATACCACCACCTACACAAACCCTGCCTATAAGCATGTGCTTGAAATTACAGAAGTCAAACAGTAAAGAAAGACTGAAACGTACAATAGAGTAAAACAAAAGCCTGCAGACCCTGTCCCCACAGATCAGCACTAATAATTCCCGTGCATCTGCCCAGAGGAAAATAAAAGCATACACACACCCCAGCAGTTACCAACAGGTGCCCATATGCGCGGATGTGTTTTCAAAAGTGGACACACTCAGGTCACACTATAGACATGGGGCATCTTGCTTCCTTCACTTAACGATACATCAGTGGAGAAAGCAACTGATCAGCCCACCCAGCTTTCCCTCAGCCTTTTAACGGCTGTGTAGTATTCCAGACACTACTGATGGGCATTTAGATGGTTTCCAGCTTTTCATGTTTTCAACTATTACAAAACAATGCTTCAGTGAACACCCATCCTAGGATATATATTTGATGTGCTTTTGACAAAAATTTTTTATTTTAGCTTTTTTACTTTCTTTCTTTTTCCTGATATTGAAATAAATGTTCACTGTAGAAAAGTTGGACGGTGCCAAAAACTGTGAAGCCAAGATCGAGGCCATGTGAGCCACTCCACTAAGGACACAGCCACTTCCCTCTGGTCTTTCCTGAAGGCAAGTATGCCTCAGAGTCGGGACCAGGTGTGAGCACCATTGCCGTTTATGGAATAATTACCCAGGGCCAGGATGTGCTAAGCATGTTACAAGAAAAGAATATTTCACTTGCCTGGATCGACATCCTCGCCAAGGGGAACCCTCACATGCAAGAGGACAAGTGACTGGCTGGCAGAAGGCAGGGCTGCTGGCCGGCCTCCCAAAGTCTGGCTGTCCCTCTGCCATGCCACCTTCTCCAGGGTGGGGAGGAAAGACGCAGGGGAGGACCACCTACCTCGGACATCACCTCTGAAGCAGTCTCGGGGTTCCGGAGGTTGTCCCCAGGTGTGGGGGTGCTGCCACTGTCCCCTCTCTGCCCCACACTCAGAGCCTGCTCCCACTTCTGCAGGGCCTCCTCGAACAGCTCCATGCCTGAGCATGGGCAGGGAGAGAAGGGAGAGTCAGGCCCCCAGCACACAGGGAGCAGCTGGGCCCCATACAATGTCACTCAAGACGGGGCTCAGAAGAGCGAGGAGGCAGGAGGGCCCCAAAGGACAAAAACGGGCAGGACCATGTGGGCTGGGTCCTGATCACGTTTTCAGGGCAGGTCAGTCTACAGGCTTTCACTCAGACCAGATCAGCTCCTGGAGACTGGCCCCGTCCAGAAATGGCTGGAAACCACTGAATGGGGGTTCTGGGGCAGGCGAAGGGTTTGCAAAGCAGCACCTGGGGAAGTGTCCTGAGCCTGACCTGGCTCTGGAGGAGGCCAGTCCTCCCCACCCCGCCCCAGGAGAGCCCTGGGGCCCGCCTCCTGGCCTGTACCTTGCATGTAGAGGCTCTCGGCATTGCCGTCACTGGTGGTCACGGACTCCTCCATCCCTCTGGCATCCCATGGTCCCGAACTCGCAGCCATGGGGCTGGATGAGTTCACCGCCACTGTCTGGGCGTCAAGCAGGGCAAGAGGTGAGGGCTTCCCAGACCGTTTGCAGGACCTCTGAGCCTCCCCTACTGCCTGACCACATGCCACACGCTCTCTCCAAATACTACCCCTGAAGCTAGCCCCCCGCCACAGCGGCCAAGCCCTCAGAACAGCCTGGTTCCACCGACAACTCTAAGCACCTGACGACACCTCACAGAAACTGCCAGCTGTGGGCTCCTCCAGGACAGGAGCCACCTCTTGCTCGCCTCTGGGTCCCCAGGGCGGTGCCTGGCTCACAGCTGGCACTCAGTGCTTGCTGAATGAATGAATGACCAGCTGAGTGAATGAGCCAAAGCCATTCCCCATGAGAAAATAAATGTCCCTTTGTCTTATTTATCTCTACATCCTCGGCACCTAGCAGAGGCCCTGGCTCGGAGCAGGTGCTTGCTCAATGTCTAACGAATGAACGAACACATGTACTTTATTCCTAGACAGTATCTTCCCCAAGAGACCATCAGCTTCTCTCCTGCACCTCGCCCCCTTCCTCTCACCGAGGGCTGGCACTCAGAGAGTGATCAAGGACAATCTCAGAAGGCACAGATAGATGAACGAACGGCTGAGAGGCTGAATGACTGAAATCTCTTATCCCATCTTCCTACCAGTCCATTAGCCCCCTGAGGCCAGAGACTGAGCCGAGGCATGACCGGCACCCTGGCGCCCTCCCCCAGGTCCTCACCGAGGCCAGGCTGTGGGAGGACCCTGAGTGCTTGCTGGGCCCGATGGAGGAGATGCCGCTCAGAGTGTCGTTGCTCTTGGTGCTGGGGCTCTGCACCCTCCGGCTGGAGTAGCCTGTGAGGAACACGAGGGCAGGGGTCACGCAGGCTTCCACCCAGCCTCTGCACAGGCCGTTCCCCGCTCCGGGCCACCTCCCTTCCTCTTCATCTGGGGACCTGTCCTGACCGTCGAAGTCAGGGTGACGACAGAGCACCACAAGCATGTGCACTCAGCAGAAGAGCGCTGGCTCCTGCTTGTCGCTCTGCTCGTGACCAAACATCCCTGTCACCCAGCACAGGGCCTGGCCCGGAGGAGGGGCCCCGACCTGCCGGGCTGAGGCTGAGGATAAGGTCCGGCTGCTCTCGCCTCCTCCTCACTCGGCCTCCCCCGTGTTGCTGACTGAGTGACCCATTTGGAATTCTCCTCCTTCCAAAACAGGATTTGAGGCAACAACTTTTTTACATACTCAAAAGATTTTTTAAAAGTGAGAAACACAGGGAAGGGAAATAAGGTGAAAGCAGAGGTGGTGGTGGTGGTCCAGGGGAGGCAAGCGCGAGGCTGGTGCGGAAATGGCTCCAGGTTTCCCGGGCGCCAACACCACACGGAAACCCGGCCACATGCACGTCTCTCAACTCATCGAAAACTTCTTTCCCTAATTATAAAGAGAGAACTTCCCTTTCGCAATGACAATTCACAGTTAAAATTCATTTTCACTAGGGGAGACTTCTGCTTCTTAAGACAGGTTTCTCCCAAGAGGAGAGCGTCGGTGAAGCCCTCGCCCTGGAAAGTGATCTAGAGACAGTCAGGCGGGGCACACACCGCGGGGCCAGATCACAGCGTTAACGGGGCCACAGACGAGCATTTGTTTTTTTGTTTTTTGTTTTAAAGATTTTATTTTTCCTTTTTCTCCCCAAAGCCCCCTGGTACATAGCTGTGTATTTTTAGTTGTGGGTCCTTCTAGTTGTGACATGTGGAACACCGCCTCAGCATGGCCTGATGAGCAGTGCCATGTCTGTGACCAGGATTCGAACCGGCAAAACCCTGGGCCGCCAAAGCGGAGCACGTGAACTTAACCACTTGTCCACGAGGCCGCCCCAGGGCCACAGAGGTTTTAAAGCCATGCCAGTAGACACAAAACAGATCAGCATCTGCGCAGGCTCAGGGGGCTGCACAAAGCGGGGGCTTAAAGCGTGATAGAACAGTCCTTGACTGTGGTGGTGATTATATGACTACACGTGTTCGTCAAAGCTCATGGAACTGTATGCCAAGAGGGGTGACTCTTACTGTATGCAACACAAACCTTACTTTAAAAAAAGAGGGAGATGAGGAAAATACCATCTGGCCCAGGAAACTTGGGCCATTCCAGGGCCCAAGCCGGGGCACTTCCCTCCCTGGACAGAGGAGCTGTGCCCCACCAGCCCTCTCTGGACCCGGGTGCTCCCAAAGGGTCGTCTGATAACAAGAACAACCATCACCGATGGAGACGAGCATTGGCCACATCACCCACCAATCCTTACAGTGACTCAGAGAAGGAGGTTCTGCTGTCACCCCCACTTCACAGATGGGGCGAACACAGCTTGGAGACAGAATGTCACTAGCCCAAGACCCCACGGTTAACAGGGGCCCAGATGGGAGGTAACTCCAGGTCAGGCCCTTCCCCACCACCTCACACCTACCTTTCTTCACCGACGGGACCTTCCTGGCCATGAGGATGGGGAGGGGCACTGTGCCCAGATGCTCGCCTCCCATCTCGGGGCCGACCTGCTTCTTCCTCCGCCGTCGCCTCTTCAGCTGGTGGGCGGCCAGGGCCAAGGCCACAGTCCCCAGGGCCGTAGCAAAGAGGACCTTCCGCAGGCCTGGTGTCAAGCGCAGCTGCGAGAATGCAGACTGCAGGAGAAGCGGGAGGCAGCTGGGTTCCATCTCCCCCAGAGAGCCCTGAGGCAGGCCGAGCTGCCCTGAGGAGCGCCCAAGGGGCGGGGACGCATGGGGCACTTGGAGCTACTTGCTGGCCAGGAACCATGGAGAGGGAACCACCTCGACAGGGGGGACCAGGCCAGCCCCTGTGAAATGTGGACCACAGCAATGTAAAGAGGGGCACTGGGGATGGCAAAATGACAATGCCAAGGAGATTGCATCTGGGGTCCAGCAGGTATCTGAACACCATCAGCCGTGACTCTAACAGCTCCAGCGACTGAGCGCTCGCTATGCCAGGCACTGCACCAGGATTTTACTGTGCCACCTGTCTGAAGGCCTGGGACCTTCCAGGTGAGAGATCTGACGCTCACGCAGATTAAGACACATGCTCAAGATGACAGAGCAACAGAAATCGAACCCAGGCTGGCTGACCCCATTTCTTAACGACTCCTCGAAGATGATGACATTCAACATTCACTCCACCAGGCAGTCTCATCCTACCACTCGCTGCTCCTCCCTCGCTCTCTGCCTGCTGGCCTGCGAGCCCCCGGGAGGGGCTGCATCCCTCAGGGCCGAACTTCAGGAAGTGTCGAGAGGCCTGGTCAGCCACAAACATTTGAGGTTGGCAGGAAGGGCTTTATTGTCCCCTTTTATAGACTGAAAAACTGAGGTCGAGAGTCACAGGACGGTGGGTGAAGACTGGGCTCGGGGCCCCAGACTCCTAACCCAGCCCTTCTCACTCTGATCAAAGAGGAGACACCGGACACCTGGGAGAGCATGGAGGGCCCAGCTTTCTCGGATGCTGAGGGAGCCTGGAGGACTGGCTCAGTGTTTCAGGGACCAGGGGTGTATAGGACGAGCCCATAGCCCACCCCAGTCTTTACCTGCCCAAACGTCGTGTAGAGGAACACGGGGATCTCGGCCACCGTCATGGCCAGGGCCTGGATCACGGACATGCCCTCAGTCCTCCGGAATGCCATGGCAAGACAGCAGCCCAGGCAACAGCCCTCGGGGCCGAGAGCTTCCAAGGAGAACGTCTTCACCTGGTTGCTGGCTGGGTCCCGGGCACCATCCACACCGCGAAAGGACAGCGACACACATACCAGAGGCTCCCTCCACAGAGCTGAGAGACAGACGACCAAGTCAGACACAAGGATGTGCTCCCGTGAGCAGAGAAACGCACACAAGAGTGCTCTGGGAAATGAGACGGAAGCAAGCCTATGGCTGGAATGCCAGGCCTGCAACCAGGCCCCGGCCCTCTGCACCCGCCAGCAGAAGGCACTCTGCACCCTGCGCCCTGGGAGCAGAAGGCAGCGTCTCTGGCACACTAGCCCAAGAGTGCACCCCAGGCCTGGAAGATGGGGCTTTCTGCCACGCTTTCTCAGTCTTTTCAAACCCATGGCCCATGTGCCAAACAAAATCTCAGGCCTCCCAAGGGTCAGGCCCCTGATGAGAATCATCACCTCTTTTCCACTTCCCACGAAGCCAAGAATGCTTTACTTCCGGTAGACTGTAGTACGAAAACAGCAGGGTATTTCCTCAAATAATAACAACCACTACACATTATGTGTGTATTTCTTGCTGAGTTCTTTACGGACATTATTTCACTGAATCATTACAATTCTGTGAACTACTTGCTATCGATCTCTCCCACCCCCTACGCCTGCCAATTTCCAACGAGGAAACTGAGGCGCAGAGAGGCTAAGTCAGGCATCCAAAGTCACACAGCTGGAATGAGGTGGAGTCAGGACTTGGACCAAGATCTCCTGGACTACTCCCCTTTTCCTAACCTGAATATGGAGCAGGAAGTGGCAAGCCCCTAGCAGAACCACCAACTACAAGGGCAACTTTGCCCTGGGGCCTTCTGAGACCCCCAGGGTACCCCACTGCCCCATTCCAAGGCCAACAAATGGCCTTCACTGACCAGTGGCTTGACTTCACATAGCCCAGTCCCCAAGATCCTACAGGGCACCAACCAGCAACCGCCACCACCAAGGCCCAGGATGCCTTCAAGGTTTCCTGGGACCTCAAGCGGAAGGAATATGCAGCCTGGGACAGACCCTTTGTACCCGGGATGGCTGCCAAAGTCACTGGACCAGCACGAGAAATGGCTTATCCCCAGTGAGAGGGAAGGATGGACAATCCTATTAGCGTAGCTCTAGGGCTGAGCTGTGTGTGTGTGTGACGGGGGTGGCAGAGAAATATCCTAGGGCTGAGGAATCTGTTATGTTGTCAAGGGTGGGGGACATCTTGCCAGGAGGCTGCAAATTGAGCTAAGTGACCTCCAGGGTTCAGGGCCCAGGATAAAATCATAAGCCACCCCTCTCACTCTCCCAGCCTGGCCCAGGCCTCAGAACATCCGAGATCAACAGCCACTCTTTCCCAAGCTCTTACTACAGGCCAGGCTTGCAACAGGCTCTCCACAGAGGATTTCGAGTCTAGTCACTGACACAACCCTCGCAACAACCACTGTTTATGATGGGGAAACTGAGGCTCTGAGAGATAAGCGACCTGACCGACGTCACTGAGTAAATGGCCAAGCTAGGATGTGATCTCAGCTCCGGGAGACCCCAAGGCTGTGGTGTTTCCCCTGAGCTGCCAGCTACAACTGCCACGTGTGCCTCCGTGCTGCACCTGAAGGACTTCTGCACCCTCCAGTGAGGAGCCCACGTGAAGGCGTGAAGATGGTGAGCCGGGGCGGCCCGGCACCTGTCTGCAGGAGAGGGAAGAGCGCTCTCTGCTGGACCGACTTCGAGGAGAGCGGCAGGTGTAAGGTGGCAACACCCATCCCCAAGCCTGCTCCAAGCCGGGGACGGATCCAGAGCCAGCCCAACCGTGCCCTGTTCATCCCCCTGGCATGATCCAGAGAGAGGGCTCCACATCTTCTCCGCAATAAGAAGCCCATGGATATGTTCCCCACCTGGTGCCCCAACCTGGGCAGTGGTCTTTCCCGCCATATAACTTCGGGCAGGAACCTCCTCATTCCACCCCCACCATGGCACTTACAACACCCCCAGCCTGGATGCCCACACTTTCCACCAGCCCACCTCCTCCCTTGGCCTGGACAACCCCCTTAATGATTCTGGCCTGAGCAGCCCCCCTTTCTGCATTGACCCCAGCAACGTCCCCAGCCCGGGCACTCCCTTGAGCCACCCTCTGCCCATTCCAGCCTGGACACCTCACCAGGCCGACCAGGTCAGGCACGGGGCACTCCCGAATTGAACCTCAGCAATATCTTTGTCTTCAGAATCTGCTCATTCCATCCCAGACATCTCTTTGCGCAGCCCCGGGTCAAGCCCCCTCCTCTCCTGCCCCCGAACACCAGAACATCCTTGAGGGTCGTCCGATCCCCGCAACGTTCCAGGCCCGCATCTCCTCACTGATCGGGTACCTTCTCCTTCCACCTTTCGCGCCGCCCACGGCCCGGGTACCTGCTCATTCCAATGCGGGCCCTTCCAGTCCGGCTGAGCCCGGACACCTGCGCGCCCACCCAGCGCCTCGCGTAGGCCCGGCTCCCGCCCGCCGCCAGCCTCACTCCCGGCCCCTGCCGCGCCGCCTGCCCGCTCGACCCGGGCCGCCACTCACCCGGGATCCCATCGCTGCGGAAGGGCAGCGTCTCCTTCCCTGGCGCCCGCGCAACCAACCTCGCGGGCCATCGAGGGGCGTGGCCTCACGAGGGGCCAATCCCTCTCTGGCCAATCAGCGTCGCCGAACCGCCCCGCGCTGCTCCTGCCTCGGACCAATGGGGTGGGTCACATGACCAATCTGGTGTCGCCTCTCGGCGCTCTCTGCCCCGCCCCCTAAGTGCGGTTGAGGCGCGGAAGTGCTATTTTCTCTCCTATGATTGGCCATCGGGATTAGATTGACACGGGCGGCTGAGTGAGGCAGGGCAGCTAATCTTAAACGGACTGAGACAGAGCAACTGGGTTTGGAAGGGGCTTTGCGGAAGGAGGTGGCGGCGCTCTGCGCCCTCTTATTTGGCTCCTCGATGCCTACTGGTCCCCACACGGACAAGTCCTTCCCGCTCTTCAAGCGCCCATTTTCAAATACCCACAGCATCCTCTTAAAGCCTTGCCACTCTCCATCTTCTTCTGGAGGCGTTCGCAAAAGTGCCTTGTCTCCCCTACCAGACATTGTGTCCCTGAGAGCTGGAGTGAAGTGACTCAAATCTGACCGCCCAACTGCCTGACACCAATCACTGGGTTTGGAATCAGACCGACCTGAGTTGGAATCAAGTTCTGCCACTTCAGCTCTTCAGAGTTTATAGCTTACCCCTCTGTGAAATGGGGATGCAATTCCTGCCTTGCCTGAGTTGCAGGGCTTTGGTGAGAATAGGAAGAAAACGGTGTGGCAGCCCTTTCAAAACTGCGAAAAGCTGGGCACATCTAAGTTTTTAAAATATAATTATCAGTAAGGTCACATTCTTTCATTCATTCGATAACTAATATTTCTGTGTGCCAGCAGTTTGGCTGGGCATGGGAGCACAGTAGTGGACGAGATACATGTAACTGAGATACTTAATCACAATTGCATGATATTGCTCTAATGGGGGAAACCCAGGAATGTGGGGACACCTGGGCTCCCACGGGGAGGTGAGACTGCTGAAAGAAAAGGACGGTCCAAACCGAGACCTAAGGATGAGCAGCAATTAGCTGGGCAGAGAGGAGAGGGAGGAGTGTTCCAGGAGCAGCATGGGCTGTGACCCGGAGGCAAGAGAGAATCTGGCATCTTTGACTCGAGGTGGCAGAGACAGGGGAGAGTGGCAGCCAATGAGCCATGGAAGAGAGAGCCAGAGCAAAGGGGAGCATCTCCACTGCTGGACTCACTGCCTGGATTCTGGGCTAAATCTGCTGCTTCCTCCCCTGTGACCTTGGGCAAATCATTTTGATGCGGGGTCGGTGAGCCGAGGAGTCGAAAGAAAGATTTCTTAGACTCTTAAGATCTGGCAGTAGTGCTCTTTTATTTAGAGAATAGAATAGCATGGGGACAGGACCCATGGGCAGGCAGAGCCGCTGCTGCTGCAAACATGAGTGGAGAGTAAGGCTAAATTTAAGGCATAGGTATGTGAGTCATCTCTTTACCAAGACAAAGGAAAGAACATGGGAAAAAGTTAAAATGGTATCAGTGCAGGTGGGGTCTGGCCATTGGGTGGTCCCACGACTTTTAGATAAGAACCAAATCAGATTAAGTAAAGGCCAGAAGCCACCACCCTAAATCAGTTACATGAGGTTGCCAGACAGTAACCAACTTAAATTCTTGCCTCTGGCATTAAGAATTTCTAGAGATAAGGCCATCCCCCTTCTTCCTGGCACAAAGAGGGAGGCACCTTTACAGATAGAGGTTTCCCTTAGAAATGTAAATGTTCCCCAACAAAGGGGCAAGCAAATTCCACTCCTCAGAACCTGCTTCTCATCCGCAGTTTTAAAATTAATCAGCCTAAAAATCCTCATCATAAACTGTTTTAAAATTAAGCAGCCTAAAAATCCTCATCAATTTAACTTCTCTGAATCTCAGCTTCCTCACCCTAAAATGAGAAGGAGGATGGTTTCTGAGCTGTTATGAGGCTCTCAGATGATTATTCACTTAAAAGTGCTCAGCGCTGAGCCTGGGCTCAGGACACTTTGGCCACAGCTATGAGAAAAACTGCAATAGCCAAGGGGAAAGTAGATAAATGGATGAAACATATGGATTGGGAAGCTGTAAGATCAGCAATGACTAGCACCTACTGTCTCGCTCTCTCTCCTCTTTACCCTGCTGTGTTTGTCTTCCCAGGACTCATTACCTGACATGCTATATATTTGTTTGTCCAAGAGGGGAGGTCCGTTTTGTTCACCACTGCTTCCCTGGCGCCTGAAACAGTGCCTGGCACATAGTAGGTGCTGGCAAAGACTTTCTCCTTGACCAAACTGAGTCAGGCTCCTCTGAGCCCTCTGCTTGACCCGGCTTGACCTTGGGCTTCCATTTCTGTCCTTGTGGAGTA